TGTCCATCATCCGTCCATCCATCCATCTTCTTCATACTCTGACAGGGTAGCTGAACAGTTTCAGGAATCCAAAGTCGTCTCCGGTGGCGAGCAGCGTTCGGTCTCTAGTGAGCGATGCTGCGTTGATCTCAGTGATGTCACTGTGAGTTGGCCAGATTCCCTCACAACTGGATCCCAGTACAGAGGTCCAACTGGACCACTCGATCCGCTCCAGCTGCAAACACACAGAGCGGTAAAGGTAAACCCAGGAAGACCAGAGGCCCTCTCAGGGAAGACCCCTTCAGTCAAACTACAGCACATTTATGAAGTTCTGTAGAAGTGGTGAATAAAGGATGTTGGCTTTAATCTGTTTGGGTTTAAAACTCTTTCCTTAACCATCACCTGCAGAATTTTGTCTTTGAATGAGTTTTCCTGACCAAATAGCAGCAATGGAGGAATATATAATATATCTAAAGTTAAAAGCTGCAGATTAGGTCAAACCTGGTCTCTATAACGAGCAGCCAGAGGTTCTACTGCAGTAACATGAAGCTGCTGAGGCATCAGGTTCCATTCCTTCCCTGCAGGTGACCCAGACTAGAGTAATGACCCTGAATGTCCCCTCAGTCCTGCTAAGCAGGTCCAAACACAGAGACACGGACCTCAGAGTTCTGGATGGTTTGTCTTCTTCCTCTCGGGGCTTCGAAGAAAAGCTGCTCCTTTGCTCCGGTGTTGACCTGCAGCAGTTTACCTGCAACATGTTAAAAAAGCTGATTGGCTGTAAGGAGAGAGAAAAGGGGCGTGGCCTGTGCAAACAAAGGGAGCCTCATTTCATTTCAAAGACAGAGTTAACCTTTAACCCCGACTTCCACAGGGTTTTAAACGTTTCATAAATTTTAGAGTAAATATCAAAGGAATTCAGAAAGGTGAACGGTTCACTGACACGGTTCAGCTGAACTGGTTCTGAAGCCTTCAGCAGAGGGACGGTTTACCTCGGGCGTCCCAGTCCATGTGCGTGATGTAACTGGACGCTCCTTTACAGATCCCCAACCTCTTGGTGCTCAACGTGTTGTAGATGTCAACAAAGCTGTCATGTGACGCCACCGCCAGGTATTTCCCTGGATCTGAGAGCAGAAACACAGAAGAAGATCTTTCCAGATTCCAGCAGGAGGAGACGTTATGAAACCTCTGATGGTTGATTGATCGGGTCAAAACTGCAGAGTGTTGGACTCTGGAGGCTCTGGACTGAGAAAGACGGACCGTTATCAGCATCTCAGCATGTTTGGGTTTTTTTTATCTGTCACCTTTTAGCTACGTGTATTTTTCTGTAAATGTTCTGTTTGTAAAGCTTTATTTAATATAAGAATGTATTTTTCTGATTAAACATTAGTATGCAAGCAGAATGCTTGAGCTTAGCTGTAGCTGATTTAATTCACATTTTTTTGGGGGGAGGGGTTTGTTTACAAGTTTTAGTGGTTATTATGTGAAGGTTTTCCAGGCCAGTTGAGGTGAGGCCGCCTTTATTTCCTTAACATTCAGCAGAAATGAACCCATAAGATAAACCATAAAGACATTTGTTCCTTCACAAATGTCAGGTTGGAGGTAATGATTTAAAAACTTCTTTAAAAACAAATTCCTTACTATCTAGATGTAAATAAATAAATTCAAATACAAAAAAAACTGTAAAGTCAATTATTTTCTTTATTCAAAAAGTAAAAAATAAACTTTATTAATTAAAGACAAATCTCAGCCTTTGTATTAAAAAATAGAAAATCGAGATTTTGATATTAAAATTACAATTAGAAACTAGGGATGCACGATATTGAGATTTTGGCCGATATCCGATATGCCGATATTTTAAAACTCATGTAGC